CTGCAGATGAGACATTAAACTGGCCTCCTGACATTCTGTGGTCATGAATTCCCCACCTCAGTTACGAAATTGACTTAGTTTTCTTTTTGAAGCTGGTAGCACGTTCTGATGGCTGGTAGGCCGTTGTGAAAAAACTAGCTTGATGCTGGAGCTAGTTTTAGTCTGGCCAGCAGGGGGTGCTCATTCCCTGACTTGTATGGATGCAAAAGTCTTAGTATGAGGAATCAGTCTTCAGAATATAAAAAGAAGCAACCTTTTGATAAAGCGTTACACCGGCACCTGTAAAAAGGAGCGTCGTTCCGATGAGGAATTAAACTGGCCTCCTGACATTCTGTTGTCATTAATTCCCGACCTTAATCATGAATTTGACCTCATTGTTTAAGCTGGTAGCGCATCCTGATGGCCGCATTGAGCTTGTCAGGATGCGCTACCCCTCTATTAGAGCAGCTTTATTAAGGCACAGGCTTCGAACACAGCTGTGGCATGCAGTAGGCAGAGTTAGGTTCCTCACTAAAGCTAAGCAGGTCAGAGCCTGTTCAGTACACTGGTGGGAGACCATTTGTGAAAATATAGCTTGCTGGTGCAGCTAATTTTAGTCCAGCCAGCAGGGGGGTGATCATTCCCTGGCTTGAATGGGTGCAAAAGTCCTAGGGTAATGACGCAGACTTTAGACTGAGAAAAGGAGCATTCTGCAGATGAGGCATTAAACTGGCCTCCTGACATTCTGTTGTCATGAATTCCCCACCTCAGTTACGAATTTGACTTTGTTTTAATTTTGAAGCCAGTAGCACATTCTGATGGCTGGTCAGCTGTTGTGAAAAACTAGCTTGCTGCTGGAGCTAGTTTTAGTCCGGCCAGCAGGGGGTGCTCATTCCCTGACTTGTATGGGTGCAAAAGTCTTAGTATAACGATTCAGACTTCAGAATGTAAAACGAAGCTACCTTCTGATAAAGCGTTAGACTGGCACCTGTAAAAAGGAGCGTCGTTCAGGTGAGGCATTAAACTGGCCTCCTGACAACATTCTGTTGTCATTAATTCCTCACCTTAATCATGAATTTGACCTCTTTATTTAAGCTGGTAGCTCATCCTGATGGCCGCATTGAGCTTGTCAGGATGCGCTACCCCTCTATTAGAGCAGCCATATGGCAAAACCAGTGCTTCAGGCTTTTGCCTTCTTCACTGTACGCTCTTGGGCCCCACTGGGTTCCGAGGCTGTACAATTTCTCTTGGAACGATTACTCCGCGCCGGGCTGACCTCTGCGAGCTTGACCTTATTGCCTCCTGCGGGGCTTCCCTGCAAAATACTTGGTCCCTCTAGGCCCCATTGGTGCTCAAGGCAAGTTCAAGCATTAGTCATTCCTCTAACATAACACGGAGGGATTGTACTGGTTCCCCATAGCGTCTTTGCAGATGCAGTATGAGTGAAGTATCGATAGGGAACGTACTCGGTTACTAACGTAACCTCGGTTCCCTGAGATACGGGAACGAGTACTGCGTTGCTTGCCATGCTATGTAGCTGCACGACTCAGTCATCGCTTCAGTCGAAGTAACCTGAGGATCTTATGGCGAAGTGCCAGCTTGTAGATGCCCCGCTTGAAGATGCCCCGGCCATTCTGGCGGGCTTTGTCGCCATAGGCTCGGGCAGCTCCTCTGCCGAACCATTGGTTCGTTTTTAATTCACTGCACGAACCAATGGCTGTGCAGTTACACTGCGTTATTGAAAAGACTTCAGTATTCGGAGAAAAAGGAGTTTTCCCATAGCGTCTTAGCAGACGCAGTACTCGTTCCCGTATCTCAGGGAACCGAGGTTACGTTAGTAACCGAGTATGTTCACAAGCCACTAGCAGAGTGACCTTCCCGGCACCTAACAAACACCTCCTCAAAATGCGATTCATATGCTCTCTTAGCTGCTTCTTAATATTAATGTCAGTTCAGTTGTTAAATTAAAAGTCAACCTTATTCTCACTCGTTATTTGGATCACACTTGACAGAAGCAGATAAGAAGATGAGGTAGGTGAGCCGTGATTTGCCGCTGATTCAACACGAAAGGCATTTTCTTTGCAGTTTCAGCCAGGGGTGGGAAACAATCAGTCTCGGCTTTGACATCCTTGGTAAAAGCATCGATCGGAAGGGGGCGTGAGCTGCAGGAGTGTTTAAGAACCATATCATATGTCCGCCGTATCACTCCTACACAAAATCAGACCTTTCGCCATCCCAATCATTTGGAGGGGGAGTCAAAAATCAATGGCCATTACAAAACATTGCAATTATCTGCCCCAAGGCCATTTAGATCGGCCATTATTTTTTGTTTGTTCAGCAAATCGCGAGACAGTCTGGCCGTTGTGGGCTTCAACAATCTTATAGAAGCTTACTGGAACTTCCTGTTTTCAGAGAAAGTGGACAGGATGATTTTTAGCCATTATTGCAATGAGAAATGGAGCGAATTTAAACCTCAGAGCTGAGGGTTTCTATTATGAGCAAATGTCAATAATCTATCAGGCATGTTAAAGTTTCATTAGGGACAGTCTATCAGAGGTTTAGATAAAGTTTACAATAAACAGCATTAACCCTATAAAGCCTACTGTATCATGTTTGATACACAAGTTTCTAAGGCCTCTAAACTATCAACATGATCAAAACTTTGCTGACAAACCTATTATACGTAATCTACTACATGCCTTCTGTAATCTTATTGATAGTTTATACTTTTTTAATAAATAAAAGATCTTAAGTGTAAAAATGTCCACATTTTTGGTGTGAAATCTTAACTGATTTTTATAAAGAAATTGTAAAAATAACCTTTATATTGTTAGTAATATTTCAAGATGATTTACTGGACTGAAGCAATTTTGGTTTACTTGATTATCCATATAACATTTGTATTTTATTTATTTATTTATCTTGAAAAATCATGTTACAATGTATCAAATATGATCATCAGGCTTTTGAGGAACCATAGTATCATATTACTATGACATATTGGGAGATATAGAGTGACAACTGATATTTATATGCATTTAAGTAGTATACTGTTTTAAAGATCTCATTGATGTACATTACAAGCTATCAAAATTTCAAACTTTAATCTAACTTTTTAGCCATATACAGTAAATATCAGTAACAGAATGAAATTGCAAATTGGTGTTGGCGGAACGGCGTTACAGCGTTGGTCACGTTTCCCATGTCGAGTGGGTTGTACACATCAGCCTGCACTACCCCCTGTTTGTGTTGCAGGCGGCCATTTCCCCTGTGCGCTTCAGCATGCTAAAAGAGCCTTTTTCCCTGAAAGAGCATTCATGGGTGGGCGCGTCTTTTTAAAGACGACGTTGCGTCTGTGCCAACTTGACGCTGTGTCTTTGTAAAGACGACGTTGCGTCTTGGTATAGATGCCATTTCACCCGTGCGTTTCTGGATGCGGTCGTTACCTGTCGGCGGGTGATGGTCACGATCGCTGTCTCACGTGCCTGGGCATTAAGCACACTGAGGTTGCGTTCATGGATGAGTCATGTTCTCATTGCGGGAAGATGACCATCTCGGAGTTGCGGGCAAGGCTCCATTACCTCAAAAGGAGTGGAGTTCCGATGCCTCTGTCTCAATCTAGTTCTCTTCTTGGCAGAAGTCAGGGGAGGAGTACTTCAGGCAGTAGCTCGGGCGGTCTGAGGCCCTGTCCACACGAACACAGTTATTTTTAAAACCGCAGCTTTTTCTACACGGTTAGGCCGTTCGTCCACACGCAACCGCAGCACCAGTTCACTGAAACTGAACATTTTTGAAAATGCCTGCCAGGGTGAAGATTTTCAGTGTTATCGTGTAGACAGCGAAACCGGAGTTTTTGGCTTGTGACGTCAGCGCCTCCGCTGTTATCTCCACTTACTGGAGACTTTTTCAGGCTTCTGATTGGCCAACATGGCTTTACGGTTGAGATTATATCGCCACCTGTTGGTTTGGCATGCTCTTGACAGTGCTTCACAGCATGCGTTTGCGTTTTCATGTGGACAGAGATTTTTTTTTAAACGGAAGAAGGAAAAACTCCATTTATAAAAATACCCGTGTACGTGTGGACATGGCCTGAGGATCACAGTGGCGGCGACCCCTCTGAGGAACCAACCTCTGAAGGTCCATCACTCCTCTAGTAGTCCGCAACCAATTGAGCTCCCTCAGGAACATGCTGGGCCCTCTGAAAGGAACGTACCAGTCGTATCCTTTGGGTCTCCTCCCGACAATCAGATGTCGATCGCTGCATTGTAGGGCGAGCTGGAGCTCTTTGGAGAGGAAGATTCGGCTGCGCTGCCGCCCTCTAGGATGGTAGCAAAGACTGAATTGGATCCAGAGATGACGGTTATGCTTTCCCGGGCCGCCGAGTGGGTAGGGTTCAAGTGGAGACCTCGTGTCCCAAGCCCTCGAGGTTGAATGACTGGTTTCTTGGGGAACCCATGCTGGTTCTCAGCGCCCCACTCCGGTGCCATTCTTCTAGGAGGTGCATGAGGAGCTCACCAGGTCGTGGATGGCACCTTTTACTGCCAGGAACTGGCCTGTTAGCTCCTCCTCCCTCACCACCCTCGACAGCGGGGCATCCGGGGGGTATACGGAGATCCCCCCGGTGGAGCGGTCTGTAGTGATGAAGTTGTGTCCTAATACTGCCTCCACCTGGTGGGGCAAACCGTCCCTTCCCTCCTGGGCCTGTAAGTACTCGTCTGGTCTGACTGGCAGTGCTTATGCGGCCTGTGGGGAGGCTGCCTCCACCTTACACGCCATGGCGTTACTGCAGGTCCACCAGGCTCAAGCACTGAAGGACCTGCACAAGGGTGGTCATGATCCGGAAGTTCTAAAGGAACTCCGAACCACAACTGACCTCGCGCTCTGAGCGATGAAGGTCACAGCGAGTTCTCTGGGTCGTGCGATGTCCACGCTTGTGGTTCAGGAGCGCCATCTCTGGCTGTGTCTGGCCGACATGAGGGACGCCGACAAAGTGTGGTTCCTCAATGTCCCCATGTCCCAGAATGGCTGCTTCGATGACGCGGTTGAGAGCTTCGCCCAGCAGTTCTCGGCTGCACAGTAGCAGACTACTGCAGCCTCCAGCTAAGCAGTGCCGTGGAGCCGGTCACAGGGTAGCCGCCCCACCCATCCAGGCCCCCGCCGAACTTGGTGGTAAGTGCAAGAACAAGAGGCCCTGTGACGGGCGACCCAGAGATGGTTGGAGCCGCTCTTCAGGAGATGGTGAATGCACCACTCCCTCCCCCGGAGGAGGGCTGGGCAGATAATCTTTTGTTTTGTTTTGTTCCACCGCTGTTCTAAGGCTGTCTCCCTCCACCCTTAAAGTATATGTCGCTGCTATTTCCACTAACCACGACCCCGTGGAGGGGAGAACGGTGGGGAAGCAAGACCTGGTCATCAGGTTCCTTAAGGATGCGAGAAAGTTAAACCCTCCTCAACCTCCCTCTATACCTTCTCAGGACCTGTCTCTGGTGCTCAAAGCACTACAGCAGGTCCCATTTGAGCCTTTGCAGTCAGTCGAGCTAAAGTTTCTTTTAATGAAGACTCTGCTCCTGGTTGCATTGGCCTCCATCAAGAGGGTAGGGGATCTGCATGCATTTTCGGTCGACGAATCGTGCCTAGAGTTTGGGCCGGCTGACTCCTAGGTAACCCTGAGGCTCCGGCCCAGCTGTGTGCCCAAGGTTCCTACTACTCCCTTCAGGGATCACGTAGTGAACCTGCAAGCGCTGTCCCCAGAGGAGGCAGACCCAGCCCTAGCTTTGCATTGTCCTGTCCGCGCTTTAAGATCAGGACCTCAGAACAGCTCTTTGTTTGTTACGAGGGCTGGCAGAAGGGGAATGCCGTCTCCAAGCAGAGGATGGCCCACTGGATAGTGGATGACCTATCAGGAGGGAACGGAGACGTCAGGTCCCGTCGCCACAGCTGCTGTACCACCGCTGAGCGGCCAGGTTACCGGCTCGGCTCCTCAGCGAAAACCTGAATATGCGGTGCATCTGCTGCCTATTTGTTCTCGCGCTGCGATCAGCGGCAGCTGGATGCAATCATCGCATGCTAATGTGCATTGGCTCGCTTAGTTTACACTCTAAGTAGATTGGTCTCTCTGGCAAGATTCCCAATTCGTCGGTCACCGACGTGACGTCTCCGTTACCTCCTTCAGGGAACGAGGGTTACAATACATAACCGAGACGTTCCCTTCAAGGGAACTCCACACTGCATCCCCTAGGGGACATTTTGGGGAATTGCATCAGCATGCACCTCACGGCTCGGGTCCCGCTGTTGCTGAGGCACAGTGCAAGATCTGGTCGAGGGGATCACAGGTGGAGCTCGTTGGGAAGCGGGAGAAATGTTTGGATCTTTCTGCTTCTTCTGTCATGAGCCGCGGAATCTGGACGTGCTCTCTTTGGAGTCAGCCGATTCGGCGGACAGCAAGCTGCTGCTGTCATCCAGTCAAGACGAGGACGTGGATGTAGTTGGTGATGATGAGAAAAGTGTGAGTACTGAGTCATCCCAGCTCTCCAGCCCCACATGCGTGCTGCTAAGAGATTGGAGCTAGTTTGGGGGCGTGAGAAACAGAAGCCTGCTCGTAGTCGTCTAGATGAACGGTTTCTGTCGGGCCATGACCGTCCTTCCCCCAGGAGCCTTCCATTTCTTCAGTTCTTGAGAAATCATGGTTGAGACTGTATTCAGCTCAGCGTCACCGTTTTCAACATGCTGATTGTTGAATTTTTCAACTGATGGTTTTTCCTCTGAGGCTGTGGAGGAGCTGCACTGCACGACGGATCATGCTCTCCACGTCACCAAGCAAACCGCATCTGGCCGATGGCGGCAATGGTGGCTATGGAGCACCATCTGTGGTTAAATCTTGAGGACATCAGGAGGAAGGATAAGAACGTCCTTGATGCTCTGCTCTCACCTTCTGGGCTTTTTGGCACATTTGTTGAGGCGGTGGTCGAAAGGTTTAAGGAGGCGAGGGCGCAGTCTGCAGCCTTCAAGAGGTACATCCCTCGCCAAACTAGATCCTCTCCCAAAACCTCTGAGGGGGCTGGTCTGTCTCAGTCAGAGGATCGCAGACAGGACCGTAGCTGGACGTGGATGAGACCGGAAGCCAGACCCATAAAAATTTACAAATGTATGTGTAAAATGCTTACATTTATGATTAATGAATGGATGAATTACTGTAAAACTACTGCACACAAAATGAAACCTATTGAAAACATGAGTGGATAATGCAAAATACAGCATAGACATATAAATATTAGAGAACTTGCATGGCATAACAAAACAGACAAACAAACAAACAGTTGCTCAGTCCACTGGACATTCACAGGAGTAGCTGTAGGGAAACACTATTTTCTAATTTCTGGTTTTAAAACACCCTTGATATTTATTTGTGTTTCTGTCATAAATAACACTTAACCTATGGTGTAAAAATTCATGCCTATATTTGTGTTCACTGAGACGTCAACGCAGCTTGCTTGATTACATAAATTGCTACATGTGAGAACGGCCTGGAGGGAATGTCGGTCACACTTTATTTTAAGGTCCAGTTCTCACTATTAACTAACTATTTACTATGACTCACAGACTTTTGCCTCAAACTGTTAATTACTGCTTATTAATAGTTAGTAAGGTAGTTGTTAAGTTTAAGTATTGGGTAGGATCTAGAATATGGTCATACAGAATAAGACATTAATATGTGCTTTATTAGTACTAATAAATAGCTAATATGCTAGTAGTATGCATGCTAATAAGCAACTAGTAAATAGTGAGAATTGGTCCCTATACTAAAGTGTTACCGGAATGTCTGTTATTTCTGATAATACAACATGTAATAAATAAACATGTTAGAAATTAAGCTTATTTACCAGCTCATATTAGCACAGTAGATAGCAGGAAAATGATGATTGCCAAATGTAATGTAAAATGTCTCAATTGAAAGCTTATGTTAGTCCTCGTAAAATCAGGAAGCGGAAAATTGAATGAAGTGGGCAAAAGATAGTCCAGAGAGTGGTGAATCACTGTTCTGATTGCAGAAATGTCCTCAGGGACATGTCAATTTAAGATGGGATTTGCCCTGTTCAAGTCAAGTCAAGTCACCTTTATTTATATAGCGCTTTTAACAATACAGATTGTGTCAAAGCAACTGAACAGCATTAATTAGGAAAATAGTGTGTCAATAATGCAAAATGACAATAGTAAACACTAATTTTTCAGTTAAAGACAGTTCATCATTGAATTCAGTGATGTCAACATCCAGCTCAGTTTAAATAGTATCTGGTTACTGTTGATAAAGCGCTAATTGTCAGTGCAGGATGAGTCTGAGTCGCTGGTAGATTAGTATAAATTACTATAATCTTCCTCTGGGGAATGCAGCAGTACATTGTCTGCTCACAAAGCAACAGAGAGTGTAAAGAGCTTGGAGTTGTATGGATTTTTTTTTTTTTAAATAAGCAGGAAAGGGAATGTGTGTAAATAGCTGGCTCTTGAGTAAGGACTGAGTTACAATGATCTAGATCTCACAAAATAAACGGGTGGCAGACATTTTATATTGTTTTACTTTAGTATAAATAGCTATGAAAACCTTCATTTAAAAACATTTAGCTTTTGTACAGGCATTTGCAGTATTCCTAAAGTAACTTACCACCTTTCATTTTAGAAATAATATTTACTTTTTTCATATAATATAAAAATATCAGAAGTCCAAAATGTAAAATACAAAGTTGCAATTAAGAGAGAAAAAGTCATATTGTGAGATATAAACTATCACTGAAAAAAAAATGGGGTCGGTAAGATTTTTATTTAATTTTTTAAAATAAGTCTCTTTTGTTCACCAAGGTTGATCAAAAATACAGTAAATATTGTGAAATCCTATTACAATTTTAAAATGACACGTTACTATTTGAATATATTTAAGAATGGAATTTATTCCTGTGATGCAAAGCTGAATTTTCAGCATCTTTACTCCAGTTTTCAGTGTCACATGATCCTTCAGAAATCATTCTAATATGCTGATTTGGTGCTCAAGAAACATTTATTATTATTATTATTATTATTATCAATTTTGAAAACAGTCATGCTGCTTAATGTTTTTGTAGAAAATGTGATGCATTTGAAATGGAAATCTTTTGTAACATTATAAATGTATTTTACTGTCTTTTCTGATCAATTTAAAGCATACTTGCTAAATAAATGTATTAATTTCTTAAAAAATTAAATAAAATAACTTCTGAATGGTAGTATAAAGTCACAATAATGAGAAATAATATTGCCATTACAATATATATAAGTCAAGTTGTAAGATAGGACAGAAAACACACAAAAAAACAACTAAATATTTATTTATTTATTAAAGTGAAAACAGGCTTTTATAAATATGACACACTGTACCATCTTATATTTATTTTACCGTTATTAATATACTTTCACCAGCATATTTTGTGCTTTTTGGAATATTGTATGTATTAGTGTCTCAACAAGACATCTTGACTAGGTTAACCACTAAGCCTTTGTTAGTCAAGCCACAGCATGTAGCATTAGCTAGATCAGTACCAAACCAACCCAGACCAGCCTGGCAGAGGAACCATCTTCATCTGATCTACAGAAACAAAACATGGGAGTTTGATCTATTCCAGTGCAACTGAACTGCAGCGTGGAGGAACTGTTTCAACAACGCACAATGGCACAGTCCCACGATATTAATATCTTTTGCACACAGGAGCCTGAAAAAGTTCTTCGGTGAGTTAAAAAGAGACTGAAAAGCGAAATGTTCCTTGAGAGACTTTTCTAAACGCAGCACAGGTTGTCAAAAAGCACTTCAGTCAAGTCTATCCCCTCAAACATCTAAATACCATAATTTGTTCCTGTAACAACTTACGAGTGACTTGACACAGACACAAATCCTCATTCAGTTTCTTACTGCAGACTCAAAAAAGGCCGTCTTTTTATGCTGGGAATATCAAGTGTCTAAATGAAACACAGCTAAATGAAATTAGTTTTTATCAGAGCGATTAAATGTCTATGTCGTTTCATTTACCCTCCATTTACTCACTGGTTCCAGCCAACAATATATTTTGTCAAGTCCTCAATTTGCTGGTACTTGACATCTACAATGACATAGATTTTTGAGAGGCCTCATCTACATGAATTCAATAACGAATCTAATTGTCCAAGCTTTCAGGCGGGGATTGATTTGTCTGTTTCAGCAGTAATAACACAAGTAATTATCTCCACTTTTCGAAGCACCATCTCTCTGGCTGCTCCTGGATTCAAGCATAATTTATATTCAATATGATTCAAAGGTACTGGAGGAATTATGGTGGTTTGTAATTTTGAAAATAAGGAATTACAATGAAATGTCTGCTTTCAAGGAAATACTATGGGTCAACAGCTCCAACTGACGACATTTTTTACAATTCAGAATCTGCATGAATATTAATATGTATAGGGTCACATTGTCAGACTCTGTTCCATGTTTTGTCTGTGTCTTGCTCCCCAGGTGTTCCTTTCCCATGTTTAATTTGTCCCAGGTGTTCCCCATGATGGTTCATTGATCCCAGGTGTGTCTCGTCATCCCCTCCTCCTGTGTGTATGTAAAGTGTTCCCAGTCCCTAGTTCTCTGTCCGCTGTTGAACGTCTTCGTGTGAACGTCTTCCTGTGTTCGTCTCCCTTGGTTCCTTGGTGGTAATAAAGTCCTGTTAAACGTATTCTCCAGCGTCTCCTCGTTCCTCGTGTGTGTGCATCGTGACACACATCTCCTTATACACTGAATAAAATATTACATACAATATAAAAGTGTGAGAAATGGAAGTCATATTAATTTTCTTTTATCTTAGTATTACAGTTAAGTGAACATCATAGGAGAGAATTTTAAATAATTTCACTACTTTGGTTTGAGGGGTGATATGTACTCTGGGTATTTATTATAAAATGAATACCATTTTTGGTTATTTTCTTTGAGGATTGCATTCGATCCAGTTAAATGTTCTACATAAATACAGTTTAAAACCCTAGTTTTATGTGATTTTATTTTCTAGTAATAAACATTCAATTAAGAGCAATGAACAACAAAAACAGGGTACCAAGGTTGACATTTTTGTAAAACTTTCCATTTTCAAAATGAAAAAAATATCCACACTTTTCATAATTTGAAAGAAAAAATTATTTGTTTGATATTTTTTTCATAAAGAATTAACAGTAACTCGATGAATGCATGCAACGCTATAATTCAGAGTTATTTTAGTATCATTGATATAATATTATAGTTTTTATTAATATTTTGAATCTTTTTTTATATTTTCCATTTTTATTTTAATTTTGTTGTAATTTTAGTTTGTAATTTCAGTTTTACTTTTAGTTAGCTATAATCACCCCAGTATAATTTTATTAAATAATTTGTGTCATTTGAGGAAATGGGATGAGACTATTTGACTATTTGAACAAACTGACTAAGTCAGTCTGAGACACGGTACGATACATCACAGCTGTGAGAATGCAAACATTTTGCTTGTTCCTCCGCTGGAGGGAAAATAAGAGCATCCTCTTTCATGTATGGCTCCCAACAGTGATTCCTCTGTTAACAATCAGTGATCAAAAACACCTGACATCGAGCTGATGGAACTTCTGAAATCTCATTTTGACACATAAGAAAAACATTTCAGCAGGCCAGCTCTCTCTTCCATATCTTATTTTTGTCAGCTCTGGTTGATGTTGTTTACTCTCAAGGCTGCGTTTTGACTGTGACATCCGAAATAAGCTGCATCCCCAGTCTGCTGGCGTTACTTGTTGCTGATAAAGCCGGCATGGTGAGAACTGTAATTCAAAGAGGTGTGTGAAGATGACGTAAAACACATTCAGGGAATGGAGTCTCTTCCAAGCCTCCCTGCAGGCAGATAAGTAAAAGGAAAGAGAGGAAGCAGTTGGCTGCAACAAATACACAAAAATGGTCACCTGCAATTGTCTCAAATGACTAATTTAGGTGTCATTATCTCATACTGCTGTGAAAAAACCAGCATACACCACTGTTCAAAAGTTTGTGGTCGGTAGGATTTTTTAAAAATGTTTTTGAAAGAAGAAAATCAGAAAACAGTGATTTTGAAATTTTACAATTGAAAATAACTTTTAAAATGTAAACTGTTCCTGTGATGTAAAACTGAAATTTCAGCATTATTACTCCAGTTTTCAGTGTCACATGACCTTCGGAAATCATTCTAATTTATTATTATTATTATCAATGTTGAAATATGTTGTATTGCTTAATATTTCATGGAAACTGTGATAAGAAATTATAATACAATTATGCCAAACATTTTAATATGGTTTAATAAGGTTCAAGTTCAATAAGACTTGATTCTACATTATAATATCATGACAGTTTTATCACAACTTAATTTTAATTCACAAATTAAAAACATACTTATCCTTCAGAAATCATTCAGTATGATTTTCCCCATCATTTATTAATGAATAGAATTTTGAAAAGAACAGCATGTATTTGAAATAGAAATAGTTTTGTAGAATTATTCTTATTATAACTACACTTCTGAACGGTAGAAATAGAATTATAAAAGATTATGCCAAACTTTCTAATAATGTTTATTTTTACATTATGATATCATGATAGTTGTACCCCACCCCCTAAAATAGAAAAATTAAGAAAATAATAACATGCTTATCATAGAATATATTAAATAAATAAGATTAAAAAAAAGTTAGTGTCATGCCATTGACCCAGAAACGCCAGTGCTAAATGGAAAGTTAGTATAGCAAACTAAATACAAACAAGAGAAAAGGTAATCAAACTCTACAGCATTTCGGTCCAAATTCAATTAAATGTCTCTCAGGAGGAGACCAAATAACATAAACAACCTAATAATTTCTGGCCTTTTAGGAAAGGTTAATGCAAACACAAATGCATCAACACTGACTTGAACGTCAAAGCACTGCGAAACATAATCGCAAACGGAATGTTACCTATATCTGCATCGTTTCAAACTAATGCAAGAAGCGATCACAAAACAATGAATCTCAATGCACAGCAACGACACTGAGTGAGATCTAATAATCATCTCTCTCTTGGTGCACATCTCTATCACAGCAGGATTATGCACTTGGAAGCAGGCAAAAAATCATTACAGCAGCCCACTTGAATTTAATCATGCACACTACAGCATAAACAGCTTGCATTTCTCATTAACCTGAGGTGCATCTCTAATCAGAGGAATACTTAAACAAGGCCACAAGTTAGAGGTGCAGCACTGATGCATATTCAAATGGTGTAAAATGTTAATATGAAGGCCCATCATACTGCAATCTACAGCACAAGGGTCACAACATTTACCCCACTGACATTTTTTAAGAGAAAAAAAAATGTTTTTTCCAACAGTGTTTCTCTGGCTGTAAATACTTCTGTTACGAGTTTCTTTTTAAAGGCATGCATCTCCCAAATATCATTCAATGTCACAAGTAGTGGAAAGATTTTCATAATTCAGCTGCAAAATTTCTAAGGCCCCCAAAGAACAAACTGATTACATGCAATGTCAAAAATCACATTGAGCATGTGCTTCAGTAACATGGTGTCAAAAAGACTGGATGGTCTGGACTGCAGTCACCTTCTAAGATGATTAAAATATCAATTAAGCATGACATCTACACCAGGGACAGTGGAGGAAAAGGTTATCGGATATAGTACTGCAACTTCAACAGGTTGTGTAGTATTTTTAAATGTTGGTTTCAATGTATCCCGCCTCATTAAAACTCATTTGTTGACATATTTCCTTTAGAAACAGGAAATGGATGCAGGACACATTGAATGGCTCATCCCTTTTTTTTTTTTTTAATTGCCAGTAAGCTTTAGTTGTGTCACAGTCATGAACTTTTGCTTTATAGTCAGTTGCAGTTGGAATTGGGGGCGGGGAATTCTATTTCAAGAGAGAATCTGATTGGACAGAAATCAGACTAATACAGGATGAGTCATAAAAGGATTGCAAAGGTTTCCGAAAATTTCCCCAAAATTCTGGAAAGTTTCCAAAAATTCCAGAAGGTTTCTGGAAATTTACCGGAATTTTCCCACCCGTTTGCAACCCTAGTCATCATTATTTTTTATCTGTTATTCTGCAAGATATTTTACATTTTAAATGCATATCTGCTAAAACTCAAATTCTGTACAGAGTAAATCACCAAGGTGAGTGGTGATGCACAGCAATTCATTTTAATATTTGGTTACTTTTTTTCGAGTTATGCCTTGGATTTTATTTTAGGCCTTGGGCATCGTGTTATTCATCATTAAACCATCTTGCCTTTAAAACCATTAGTGGAACAGTACAAAACGAAATCCTTGTCATACAGCATCTCTGTACATGTCTTTTATCTCTAAAGTGTCTCAACAGCTGAAAAACGATCCTTATGCTACCGACTGGTTGCACTTCCCCGGTACTAACAATTAAAACAATTCACACAACCATAAAGTGCAGCCCATTTCAGACAGCACAGTTGCTAGGTAACATCTCTGTCCATCCAGAAAGACAAAAGGACATATAAATGTATGAGACATTCTGGAATGTGACAATTGCAGATAGATTTTTTTCCTGCCACATAAGCTACATACCGCCATATTGTTTCTTAGTAAGAAACAATATGGCTATTCACATGTTTACATGTCAAATGTAAACCTCTTGATCTGTTATTATCATTCATGTCTTTACATACACATCCATCAAACCTGGCTGGGCTCCCAAAGC